ACAGTGTTTTATAGTTTTCTTTGTATAGGTCCTTTACCTCTTTTGTTAGATTTATTCCCAAATATTTGATTTTTTTTGTTTCGATAATAAAAGGGGTGGTTTTTTTGATTTCTTCTTCTTCAGATTTATTGTTTGTGTATAGGAAGGCTACTGACTTTTGCGTGTTGATTTTGTATCCTGCCACTTTACTGAATTGATTGATGAGTTGAATTAGTTTTTCTGTGGAGATTCTGGGGTTCTCTATGTATATTATCATATCATCTGCAAATAGTGATAGTTTGACTTCTTCTTTTCCTATTTGGATTCCTTGGATGTCTTTCTCTTGTCTTATTGCTCTGGCTAGGACTTCCAGTATTATATTGAAAAGCAGTGGTGAGAGTGGACATCCTTGTCTTGTTCCAGATCTTAATGGAATTGCTTTCAGCTTTTCACCATTGAGAATGATACTGGCTGTTGGCTTGTCATAGATGGCCTTTATGATGTTGAGGTATGTTCCTTGTATCCCAAGAATTTCAAGGGCTTTTATCATGAATGGGTGTTGCACTTTGTCGAAAGCTTTCTCAGCATCTATTGATATTATCATATGGTTTTTATATTTCTTTTTGTTGATGTGTTGGATAACGTTGATTGATTTTCGGATGTTAAACCATCCTTGTGCCCCTGGAATGAATCCAACTTGGTCGTGGTGAATTATCTTATGGATACATTGTTGGATTCTGATAGCTAAAATTTTATTGAGGATTTTTGCATCAGTGTTCATTAGGGAGATTGGCCTATAGTTTTCCTTTTTTGTGTTGTCCTTATTCGGTTTTGGTATTAGTGTAATATTGGCTTCATAGAACGTGTTTGGTATTGTCCCTTCCTTCTCAATTTTTTGGAAGAGTTTGTGAAGGATAGGCACTAATTCGTCTCTGAATGTTTGGTAGAATTCATTTGTAAATCCATCAGGTCCTGGGCTTTTGTTTTTGGGAGGTTTTTAATTACCATTTCAATTTCGCTGCTTGTAATTGGTCTGTTTAGGTGTTCTATTTCTTCTTTATCTAGCTTTGGGTGATTGTAGAGTTGTAGGAATTTGTCCATCTCCTCTAGATTGTTGAACTTGTTTCCATATAACTGTTCATAGTAGTTACTGATTATTCTTTTGATTTCTGCTGTGTCCGTTGTGATTTCTCCTCTTTCATTTATGATTCTGTGTATTTGTGCTTTCTCCCTTAAGGGAAGAAATGCGAGGACACAGAGGATCCATCTGTTTAAAACGTTTGCATTCCCTGCAGTCCCAGTCACCTCCTTGAGCGCCAGGACTGACTGGGCCTGGGGGATTCTAAATCAGCAGCTTTAAATAGATCAGGGCAGGAATGGGTGGAGGCTGGCAGGAAGCTGTGTGTAGAGTACAAGGTCCTTGTTTCCCCCTCGCTCCCATAGACACTTCACCTGTCTCTTTCCTCTGGTTCAGCAGAACTGTCCTGGAGAGGTAAGTTGGGACTCCAATTCTCCCCTCACTTAGGAATCTCATTCATACCTTCAAAATCTAGTTAGCACAGTACAAACATTTGAAAGAGGAGAGGCTGGCTATGATTCATGTGTGGAGACTTTTCGCTGCATTCTTTTTCCATATTCCCAAACCCACCCTCCCATCCATGGCCCTTGGTGCCAGAAATCCCACTAACCTGGCTTCATCCTTATGGTTTTACTTTATGGTTCTTAGTCAGTGTAGAGCTAATTTTTGAAGATTTTATTTGGTGTGACACACACTCTTAATATTCTCATTAGGTAGGTAAAATTCTGAGGAAAAATGTCTGAGCCTTTGGTTTGGAAACTGGAAACTAGAAATGGGAAGACAGTATAGAAGAAAGATCAAGAAGTCTCATCCACTACATATTCCTTTTTATCACCACTTTCTTGGTTGCCATTTATTAAATAGATATATCTTGAGCCAGGGTCCTTCCAATGCATTTTAAATGTTTTACTCTTTAGACTTTATTTTTCTATATAATACTGTAAAAATGAAAATAAGGTATGAAGAAGTAAACTAAATTCACAATTGAGATAAAAACTCAGTTTTTAGATGATAGTTATTTAATTGTCTAAATTCACTTTACACTTAAACACATAGTTCATGCCTTTCTCCTAAAAGAGTTAATGTATCTATTTAATCAATATTTATTAATTAGAACTAGATCTGGTCATCCCTGAGTTCTAGCCCAGGGCTCCCAGAGATTTGTCTAAGCATTGAAGATAAAATGAGAAGAAAGAAAAGATAATTATAGGAACTTATAATTTATTGGGGGAGAAAATACAAATCAAATAACAGATACACATTAATTCACTTTAAGTCTAAAGTATGATAAGAATCATGAAGAAAAGTGTGTGTGAGGATATATAACAGAGACATACAAGCATGAGTACAAGAGTAAGGATGATTCAAATAACTGGATGCTGACAAGCAGATTCACAGCCAGTATGTTTCTGCATAGGATGGTAAGGGTGTCTGAATTCTTATTTCAGAAGGTAAGGGAAGTCATTGGAAACTTTCCAGAAGGAGTGTAACATCTTTTAAATTTATATTATGAGTAGAAATGGGTAGAAAAGGCATGCCAGAGCATAGCAGAAAGAGTGGACGACCAGTCAGGAAGCTGTGCTGACCTCCTGGGTGAAGCTACTGAGGGACAGATTACAGCAGAAGTGAGGAAATGAGAGAAGCCAGTGTGAAGAATATTTTGGAAAAGTGATAATACATTGCTGAGATCTGGGACTGGGAGAGAGTGTGAAATGTGTTCTAGGTTTTTCTGGCTTGAGTGCATGGATAAATGGTGATGGTCTCTAATTACATGATAAATATTGGAGATCAAGTATGCTGATTAACAAAAAGTTCAGCTTTGCATATGTTGTGTTTGACTACTGATGAGCTGTTACAATTGATAGTCCAATAAGGAGCTGGATACTTTAATCTACAAGAAGAGAACTCTAAACTGGAGACATACATTTGAAATCATTGGTGTATGGGATTGAGAAAGAGCATCATGAATAGAAAATTATTTTGAATATATTAGTAATGAAAGAGAACAGAGAAATGAGTGATAGCTTGAAAAATAAATAGGTAAATATTTATTTATATAAATATTTATTTATATATTTATTTATATATAATTTATATATTTAATATAATATATAATATAATATATAATATATTTAAATAATATTATAAATATTTATATATTATTTATATATATTTATAAATATTTATTTATAAATAAAAAATAAATAGGGCAATAAATAGGTTTTTTTTGTTTGCCGTGATAGTGAATTCTGAAATTAATCTTCAATGAGGAAAAAGTTGGTGTAGGTGGCACTTATCTAAAGCTAACAGGAGAGATTTTTTTTTTCTGATTTTTTTTAAACAAATGGAGTGCCCCCAACATTTTCATAAAGTAGCTAAATTATCTGAAACGAAGGCTGTAGGTGGAATCAGATACCCACTGCTGACTTTCTTTCTTTTTTTTGCTAACTCTCTTATAAGCTGGAACCCCATAAGTTGCTTTGTAGTGCTAGTGCATTCATGGGCACTCCATGCTTTGGAGTGGGGATTCCAAGGGTACAGCCTAGGTTTTAAAGAACACCAAGCCTGGAACTCCAGGAATCTCACTTATATTCCATTGCAAACTTATAAGAGATCTTTCAAAATTATCTGAGTCTGAAAATTCTAGAACTGTATCCTAACACTTAGCTTAGATTTCTTCTATTTTTAAAATTAATTTTTAACCTTAATAGAAGTGATTTAAATCTCTGGCTCTCAAACTTCACTGCCTTTTGGAATTGCCTCAGAAGTTTTACAAGAGTACTGATTCCTTATTTCCACTGCCAGAGATTTTGATTTAATTGTCATGAGTGTGGCTCAGGCAGAGGGTTTTTTTCTTTTTTAAGTTCCTTAGATGAATCTAAAATATACCACATTTTGGAAAACCTTAATATATATAAAAGAAAAATAATATAAACATGAAAGAGAGAAAAAGCAAAAGCAATTGGGAATGAAGATCATGAGAATCTGCATACTTGGTGGGTACTTGAGGAACTCAAATAACAAAGAGAGGGTGAGGAACTAGAATGGTTTTTAAATATAGATGAGAGGTGAGACATAATTCAGAATATAGGGGAAAATGTCATCATTTGCATGAGAGAGAGTGATTTAGTAAGTTGAGTTTATTAGGAAAAAGTTCATGTAAAACGCACTCTACCTCTCTTCTTTCTTTCCCTTTGATTTTGAGTTTATGATGTTTTTCAGTTGAAGTAAAATTGGTTTATAACATTGTTTGAATTTCAGAGGTATAGATCTCCTCTTTCGTATTCTGAATATATATACATATATACACACACATATATATGCCAATATATAGATACACAGTGGAATGCTACTCAGCCATTAAAAAGATAAACTTGCCATTTGTGACAATATGGATGAAACTGGAGGGGATTATGCTAAACAAAATAAGTCAAAGGAGAAAAACAAATACCTAATGGTGTCACCTATAGGTGGAATATAGAGAAACAAAACAAAGGGTCAGATAGAGCAGAACCAATAACAAATCTTAGAAATCTAATTGTAGAGCTGAGGCCTCTGGGGTGGCGGGAGGGAACAGAGTGGACTGTAGTGTACCTCACTTCTTGAAGAAGTTGGTGGCTAAGAACAGGCAGGAAGAAAGACCAAAATCATTTTCTACCATTGGAGAAAAATTTGGATCTTTCTGTAAAGAATACAGAGATAGGAGAAATGAGGAATAATATCCAAAAAACCCCAAAAGAGTCAGGAGTATTTGGAACCTAACACATGTGGATATAGTGTGGAAGGCTTAGGATAAAACCAGTGACTCATAGCCTGTGCCTTCCTGACCCTTCCATCATTTTTGATATGGAATCTACGTAGCATTGTCCCTGCAACCCTGAGAACAGTGACTCCTGGTCTTCCACTGTCTGACCTCACTCTGGTTGTTTTCCTCTAGAATCTCATGGCAAGTTTTGGGACTAATGTATCCAGAATTACCAGCTTCATACTAACAGGCTTCCCAGAGATGGAGGGCCTGGAGCACTGGTTAGCTGCCTTTCTCTTGCTGCTATATGCAATCTCCATTGTGGGAAATGCCTTAATTCTCTTCATTATAAAGGAGGAGCAGAGCTTGCACCAGCCAATGTACTACTTCTTATCTCTGTTGTCTGTTAATGACCTGGGCGTATCCTTTTCTACGTTGCCCACTGTATTGGCTGCCATGTGCTTTCATGCTCCAGATACTGCCTTTGATGCCTGCTTGAGCCAAATGTTCTTCATTCACTTTTTCTCCTGGACTGAATCTGGGATCCTGCTGGCCATGAGTTTTGATCGCTACGTGGCCATCTGTAACCCCTTGCGTTATTCTACAGTGCTGACTGATATCCGAGTGGCTCACATGGGCATATCCATCATCATCCGCAGCTTCTGCATGGTCTTCCCACTGCCTTTCCTTCTGAAGAGGCTGCCCTTTTGTAAAGCCAATGTGCTTATTCATTCCTACTGCTTACACCCAGACCTGATCCGCCTGCCCTGTGGAGATACCACCATCAACAGCATGTACGGCCTATCCATTGTCATCTCTGCCTTTGGGGTGGACTCCGTGCTCATTCTCCTCTCTTATGTTCTCATCCTGCGTTCTGTGCTGGCCATTGCTTCCCAGGAGGAGAGGCTTAAGACGCTCAACACGTGTGTGTCACACATCTGTGCTGTGCTCGTCTTCTATGTGCCCATGGTTAGTGTGTCCATGGTTCATCGATTTGGGAAGGATGCCCCTGAGTATGTGCACAAGTTCATGTCCCTGGTATATCTCTTTGTGCCTCCTATGCTCAACCCAATTATATATTCCATTAAGACAAAGGAAATCCGTAAGAGATTACGGAAAATGCTATTGGGACCTAAGTTATGACCAGGGAGAAAACTTATGGAAAGCTATGTGCCTTAGGAGCTTGCTGCTCTTGGGGTGTCTATGCCAGCCATTGGAGGATTTCAGTTTGCCCTTTTATGTGGATCTATATTGGTTGTATAATATAGGCTGGTAATAGCCCAGGACTGGGAAACTCAGGCTGCCCTATATTGTACTTAATACGTCACAAATGGCTTCTCTCAGGCTCCACAAGGAAGAGGGTTTTCAATTAGACTTTTTTATTTGCTCCAATGTACTATTAAAAAATCTATGCTTTCAAGTCAATCTCAAAAATAGACAAAAAGTACACATAAATTGTGTTATAACTGGGGATTATGTTACTTGAGATTATATATATATCACCCAATACTTTTAAAAGGAATAATAGTTTTGAATATCTTTAAACTTTAAAAACTAAGTTTATAATAGCTGTGACAACTTTGCACTGTTTTGAAATAAAAAAGAGTATTCCTGAGTTGTATAAAATAAAACATATATGCTTGCTTGGTGGACTATGTAACATAACACCTGTTTCATAGAAAAAAAATAAATGTCATTCCTTGGGAGTTGCTGGGAGAATTAACTTCCTTAGTAACCTCTCTTGCCCGGGACCAGCCTCCGGCAAAATGTCGTGTCAGGGGTTCCTGAAAGTATGAGACGGCCTAGGCGACCTGTAAGGGGCTGAAACTTAAGGGCTGAGGGGAAGGGGATAAGGTAGTGAGGAGACTCTGACACTGGATGAGGTGCAAGTATCTTCTGCCGAGAGACTCAACAGATCTTTATTTATTCATTTTTAGTAAGCAGAAAAAAAAATACATCATCATGTGTAAAGCAGAAACAATTAGTGTATTTTATTCCCATGGACTACTGGCTCCTATGGGTCCCAGCTAGACGGTAGCCTTCAAGGTTCATAGATAAAAAACCAAACCTTACACTAAAACTTATTATTTCAGCTAGACAATTACCTAAGACAGTTGATAGCCATCAGTACATCCCATCACCTAAAGCCTAAGCATCAAAAGACTATTTTATTCATATGGCCTTCAGCCGGAGACCAGCAGCTACTCAGCTATCAGAACTTTTTTCTACCTAGAAACTTCTTAACACAGTTAACTTTATTTAAAAACTTTCCTAAGAAACATCTAAATAAAAAGGGAAATTCTAAAAAAGCAAAAGAAGGATTTACTATAATTGTTGCATTGGATTGCTTGTTAGGCATGTCTTCTACCCTTCATGTACAGATAATTTTCCATGCCATTTATTTGCAGTATACTGATGCATATAATTTATTACCTAATGTACTTTCTGGGAAATTTTTCTCTTTTTATGACCAAGAACAAAAAATAAAGGGATGTTAGCTCTTCAGCCCCATGGTGTGAGGCACTAGGAATCTTCAGCCCCATGGTGTGAGGCCCTTTACCTTTGGCTCCACCATGTGAGGCCCTTTAATTTCGCTCCTTGCCAGTGTGTTATCTGACTGGGGCAGCAAGGCCCCCTGCTGCACTCTCTAAATGAAAAGTTAACAGATACTAGTGATGTGATGGTGGGGCAAACCTACACACTGTGGCATGGCCAACCACCTGTTAGGAAATGGACTTTTGTGGCCTGTAGTGACCCCCCAAAGGCACAAAACTTCAGCTATGATAGAGCAGAGGAGAGGAGCTGGAGACTACCAGGAAACTGGCAGAGAGTAATCCCTGGAGAGTAACACTCTGCAAGCTCTTGCAAAGCACAGACAACATAGATCACATGGGCTTGCGGGCACTGGACAGACAGAAGCACAATGTGGGAGGTTTTTTTTGGACAGTGGACAAGTCATGACATAATCCAACCCTAATAGATGATTGGGGAAAGCAGACACTGAGGCAAAAAGTTATGCAAGAAAAATAGAGAAGATAAATTATCCATTCAATAATCTGTTTAGTTTTGTACATGTGTAACTCGAGAGAAACCTGACACCATCTAAACACATTTCACTGATATTTACATAGGCCTCCAATACTCTTCAAATAGAAAATATAGCTCCCAGACAAAACTTTCCATAAATTACAGCATTCATGTATCATTCACCCAAATCAATGGCATGTGACAGCTTTAATAAAAGTTTCATTGACAAAGAGATCTCAGTTGATAGAAATGCAAAAGTCAAAGTTGCTTATTGAACAATCTTGATCTTACATCATTTATTGTTGCTCAGAGTGCTTGAGAAAATTTCTCACTAGAGTATGCCTCCACCTTCATGTCTTTTAGCGGAGATATTTAGCCATAATCTTTACTCAACTGCAAGTTGAGAGATTTTCAATATAGAGATTTTCTGGTGAGTGAATGTACTTCCTGTGGCAGACTATTTTGCTTACAAGCTTTGCTTTTGGTTTGTTGACTTATAAGAAACATAACAGCTCATTTATTTACTTTTTCAATAAAATGTATTGAAATCTACAATAGGGTGGTACAGTGTCAGGCTTGAGGGATCAGTCACGATGGAATGTAGTTATTAGGGTTTGTGAGAGAAACCTGCCTGAAGAGATGGGAGGCATATTTTTGCTAGCTACACTTCCATTTAAACACCCTCTTACCAAACCACATTTTCCGTGGCTACATTGGGATGGGGGAGTGTTGGTGGTGGATATGTAGTAAATGTTCATGTGAACTGTGTTAGGACAGCACAAGGCCTGAGACCCAAAAAGCCTCTACTTAAGATAAATATTCCATGTTTCCAGATGGGAGAAATAAGCTTCCTCGTGTCAATTTGCGATTTCACAATGAAAGACGGAAACAATGATGCATCACAGTCAACTTGAATTACTCTTCTTGACAGCAAAGCCCCGGGTCTCTGATAGAGACAAATTCTTCTGTAAATGTTAAACAGCTTAAAACAGACAGGGTGTTAAGTGGTTTTTTCTATATTTGACATGTCATTGCGAAAACAAAATCTATTGTGGATTTTCACACAAAAATCTGAGCATCAGCAATTTACTAAACAAATCTTATATGTAGAAGAGGAATACAAAATAAATCTGAAACTCAAACAAAGAAATTTCTACTAAACAAATACATTTGAATCTTTGTAAATTGGGTTAACGGCACTATAAACCTCAAAATAGTTCCCTAATAAGCTTATATGAACCAGATCAGTATTTAATTTTCTTAGATTATAGGCAAACCTAAGAGATCAAAATTAAAGAAATATAAGACCCTCTTTTCTTCTTTTCACTGCTCAAATTTTGAGTATTTTACCATTTCAATAGGACATGTTGAATTCAAAGAAAAATTTGTTAAATAAGAAGAGGTAAAAGATAGTTTATACTTAAGGTTTTTTTTTAAAAAAAGAAGAGGTGTTTATCTTAGGCCTTCTTAGAATGGAAGCTGCTGGAATGAACTTAACTTTTTCTTTTTTTTTTTTTTTAAATTTTTTTTTTTTTTATAGAGGCATGTTTTATTTATTTATTTGTTTGTTTGTTCGTTTTGTTTATACATGCACTGGGTACAGTCAGAAGCACGGGAGGGTGAGAGAATTCACCAGAGCCAGAGCGGGGAGCAGAGCAGGCAGAAGGACCGAAGCACACTGCTGAGGGGAGCAGCGGGCGGCAGGAGAGGTCTGCGCGCCATGTGGGCTCCGGTGGCCGGGGAGCAGCCGGGGATCGAACCGGCGCTGCAGAGGCCGCGGGCAGCTTCGCAACCCAGCGCTCAACCACTGCGCCACCGGGGAGGCCCTGAACTTAACTTTTTCTTAGGGCTCCTACCACATAAAAGACATCTAAAAGTGCTGTGCCCTCTCCATGATAAACAAGCAGCATTTCTAATTACCGATGGAAAAGAAAGGAGGACATAGAGAGAAGCCAGAGGCTCTTTTAGAAGGATCATTCTCCTGCTTCCTGGTGTTTCTCCTGTGACACCACTGGATTTCAACGTTAGGTCTAAGGACAAAGTGTTTTCTTAACTTTTATATAACGGCTTCTCTCACTCTTGCCTTTGCGTATTTGTTTATATGAATATGAACAACATATATGTTTATATGCTCATTATCTTCATCTATATATTAATTAAGGCTTTCAAGGTATTATATTATTGTCATTATTACTTAAATGTTGCAAAATAGAGCTTCCTATATGAATCAGAAAGATTATTATTTAAATTGACCATTCAGACATATTCTGAGTCTAGAAAACTACCCCAATATTTTCTGTTATCCAATCATGCTCATAAAAATAATTAATAGTGGACAAGAACACATATATTAATGTGTACTTATAGACATTTTTGGAAACCTGGATTCCAAACACTTATAATATCTCAATTTAGAAACAGTTTCCTCTCTCTGGCACTTGACATTTCAGGATATTTCTTCAATAGAGTTTTGTACAAAGGGAGAAAATCTCTGGATAACTGCATGATCTGCTGCTGTGAAGTTTAGTCCAATTTCCTCATTGAGTTGGGTGAGACTCTATATGACAACACCTTTATTTTAAATTAGAAATAAACCCAAACTCAGTCTGAGAGCACTGGAGTACTGACAGGCCAAAGAATTTGTTACTGTATCACCACTTTGGTATTAAGTAGAGCATATGCCAAAAAAATCAATATAGAAGAAGGCTTGAAAAAAATTATTTTTCTAGAGTTTAAATCATAAATACTGTACTTTGCCTAGAAAGACGTAATATGTGATAATGCTGATCATGTCATTATGTGGAAGGACATTAAAATCCCAAGAAGGAGAAAGAGAAATCATGCATTTAGCACAATGTAAAAAGAAAAAAAGTGATTTATATATTGAATATAGCTTTCCTTGGGGAAGGGCTGAGTGGAAGGCAGATGAGGGAAGCAGAGGGGAATCTGGAGTTTCTTCTAAATAACAACATCTATGAGTTTTTGCATCATATTTTTTCATACACCTTATGGCAAATTCTGACAATACATCAACGATCACTTTGTGAAAGTTAGAACAACTGATGAATATTTGGAAATGGAAAGTAAGGATACAGTGGCAATGTTAATAATGATACCAATTAAACTGAGACCAAGAGTTTGTAGTGGCTTTTTAAAAAAAAGATTTATTTATTTTTACATACAAGACCTGGGGTACAGGCCAGAGATGTGGGGCTGGGGGTGAGAGGACTCACCAGAGACACAGTGGGGAACAGAACAGGCAGACTGATGGAAGTACACTGCTGAGGGGAGCAGTGGGCGAGTCAGGAGAGGTCTGCTGCACCATGTGGGTTGCTCCCTGGCTGGCCGTGATCAAACTCTTGCTGAAGAGGCTGCAGATTGCTTCATAGTGTGGTGCTTAACCCCTTGTGCCACCAGGGAGGCCCCTGTAGTGGCTTTATATAAATACTAGAGATGGACTAGTATTGAATCTCATCTTTATCATGTATTATCTGTGTTACCAGAACAATTAATTCTGTACACCACATAGAATTAATGAAGAGTAAGTGCAGTAATGCACATAAATAATTTAAAACAGAACCTTACACTTGTAGGATTCAATGTATTATTGTGCTCATAATATTTATTATTGCAGTAAAATGATTCCCAGCATGAATTTCCTGTTAAGTTGTCTGATAATTAATCCAATATTTATATGTCTAACAATGCCATTGACGTTTTCTGAATGTCCCATTAATTTGCTTTGGGTTGCCCGATTTTACTGCTCCATCCCATGATCTTTTCCTTACACATGCCTGCTTATTCTTGATGTGATGTGATGACCATGACGAGGATGCTATGGATAGCAACCCCTGACTACCATCAACATTTGATCTTAAAGCCAAACGTGCAGATCACGTTTTGATGCGGCGAAACATGCGCACAATGGCTCGGCGGATCTCCTTGGTCTTGGCGCTGTAAATGAGAGGGTTAAGTACCGGGGGTACAAAGAGGTAAATATTGGACATGAGAACATGGACGTAGCGTGGCGCGTGCTTCCCAAAGCGGTGCACTGCGGAGACCCCGATCATTGGCACATAGAATGCAAGCACAGCCAGGATGTGTGACACACACGTGTTGAGAGCTTTGTGGCGTTCCTCCCGGGATGCAATGGCCATGACAGAGCGCAGGATGAGCACGTAGGAGAGAAAAATGAAAATGAGATCCATGCCAAAGGTGGACACGAGAACGAAGAGGCCGTAGATGCTGTTGATGGTGATATCGGCGCAGGCCAGCTTCATCATATCAGGGTGGAGGCAGTAGGAGTGAGAAAGAACATTGGATTTGCAGATAGGCAGCCTCTTAATGAGGAAGGGAAGGGGGAAGAGGGTGACGAAGCTCCGAGCAGTCACAGCCAAACCCATCCCCGCAATGACACCATTCGTAAGCACGGTAGCATAGTGCAGAGGGTCACAAATGGCCACGTAGCGGTCAAAGCTCATGGCCAGCAGGATACCTGATTCCATCATGGAGAAGGAATGAATGAGAAACATTTGCACTAGGCAGGCATCGAAAGCAATGCTGCGGGCATTGAGGCAGAAGGTTCTGAGCACGGTAGGTAGAGTGGCCAGGGACATGGCCACGTCACTGAAGGACAGCATAGATAGGAAGTAGTACATGGGTTGATGGAGGTTGGGCTCCAGGCGCACGGCCTGCAGGATCACCGTGTTGCCCCCGAGGGCCACAGCATACATCACACAGAGGGGCCCCGCCAGCCAGGAATGAAAACTCTCCAGCCCAGGGATTCCAGTTAGGAGAAAGGAAGCAGGGCGGGTGACATTGAACAATCCCATGGCAGGAGGAAACCAGGACAAGTTTCAGGATCAGGCCTTCTGACTTAGAAACGAGTGAGCAAGAAACCAAGGAGTAAGAGACAGTGGGAAACTGTGTCTAACCAGTCTAGCCGATTGGAAACTGATACATTCATGAAATCACTGGTTTGGGGAAAATGCAGGTAAATTTCTTTTCTTCATATTTTATGATCATCAGGCCATGGGCAGGGCTAATATTTCCCTCTGTTTTATGGAAGAAGGAAGACATTGATAACTATGTCAAAAATAACAATTGGAATTGTTATTATTATTTTTAATAACAACACAAAATGTAACAAAACGAAAACAGACAATTATAAATTAGAGGCATCCTGCAGAGGAGGGGGAGGGAGAAGGATCAGAGGGAGGGACGGAGGAGCACAGGGGACTGAGGTGACGGTGCACAGGTGCACTGGGGAAGGAAACTCTATGGGGACTACACCTGAGGGGGTGGGGGAAGCAAATATTGTTTAAAAATGAACAATGATGTAAAAATAAATTAAAAAATAGCAATTGGTTACAAAGAAAATATTTAAACTATATTATACACCATTTTAATGTGTTTTAGAAGCATCACTGGATGGAAACAGGTTAAGTACAATCATAACTAGTTATTATAAAAGCACCCTGGGAGTTTGAGCTATTAATAGCTCTTGGAAATTTAAATATTTACTTGAAAATGGAAATCAGTGGTCTCACTGATGAATGAGTGGCTTCCCTAGGACTGGTTTGATTTACCATGTGCGGTTGTTCAGGGTGAAGAAAGGGCAGAGGGATGTGGAGGAAATTGCCAGCCTCCAGACATCAACCTTTCATTGTCAGAATTGCTGCAAAAAGCATGTTTTCTCAAGCTCATACTCTCCATCCACAATGTCTTGCATGTGTGCAAACATTTATATATGCATTACGTAGAAGAGCATTTGTATATTCACATGTCCTTCCCACAGACATGCTTTATAGACTCCCATTTGCCCACTGCTATTAGCCCACTCTTTCTACCTTATGCATTCTATTTACTCAGAGTTTTTGTTGTAGTGACATTTATAAATTACTCAATTCCTGGAGGCCAACCTTAAACTCATTCCCTGTGAGGGTGGTCATGTTGTTTATTCTATCATTTTGAGATGCTTTTGTGTTCATCCCCTCATGATGGATGAAGCAGGGAAAGCTATAAGGCTTTTCACCTGGAAATGGTGTTTCAGGTTTCAAAGAGGAGCTCCAGAAATACATACCACTGCATTCCCTTTTCCTTCCTCTCCTCTTCTGACAGAGCAAGGCCAGAACATCAGAGCACTTTCTGATGGGAATGAAGGAGCAAGGGGACTTGGGAGCTGAAGAGCTCAGTGGTGCTGTAATGGCAAGTAATGCAGCACTAACACTCTGGGAAACAATCCTGCATTACCCATGTATCTATCTATGTATCATCTATGTATGTGTGTGTGTATGTATGTATGTATGTATGTATGTATGTATGTATGTATGTATCTATCTATCTATCTATCTATCTATCTATCTATCTATCTATCTATCTATCTATCTATCTATCACATCTTGTTTCCCAGAAAGTCAGTGGCTTCCCTGTGTGACTGGTTACATCTCTGGCCTTAGAGCTCAGTCTGGGCAATCCTGTCTCCCCTCCTGAACTGTAACTTCTTGGTCCTAGTACTCACCAACTTTATTCAATTTTTGTTTCTCTCCCCTGACTAAAATTCTCATTCTTTATAGAGACTTACTGAAGGCAATCAGGAAAAAAAACAAAAAATCCCCAAACCATAAAAAGCACAAAAACAGCAAAAAAGTGAGCTAAGTTCAAGGGGACAGAAAGGAAAAGGGGAGAAAACAAGCTCCAGTGAAGCAGGATCTGCACAGGACATAGGCAATATGACTAGCAGGTGATAAACCTCAATTCAAAGAAGTATTTGTAAGACTCTCCAAAATCTTTCTGAGGTCTATCAGCCACCATTAGGGCATTGGGGAAGAAATTAAAAAGGAAGATAGAGAGACACAGATCTGAACAGAGATTTCTCAGGTACTCCTGAACAAAATGTGAGATTCATGTGACCGAAATGATGCAAAAAGTACTTGCCTTCAAAGCAGGACTCAATTTCTTCTGCTTCTGGAACCAAGAACTTGTAACTGAAGTCATAGACCAGGCCTGTGTAGGGAAATAACAGCTCCTGTCAAGAGCTGTCAAGGGTCAAGAGTTTTAAGATTATACCCTGGTTATGGCATTTGGGGACTGTGTGAGCTTGGGGAATTTTTTTTTTCCTTTTTAGACCCCAGGATCCTCTTTATAACTATTTCCTTAAGGACATTTTAAGACACTTTATAGCTCTGACATTCTTTTAATTTACTTTTAAATTTCTGAAAAAATGCTTATGAAGGTTTGCTAGCATCTTGAAAAAAGACAAAAATAAGGTAGGGATGGGGCTGGCGGGGTTTATGGAGCGGCTCATCTAAAGACCATAGTTGTTTACCTAAGTCATAGATTATAACTGATTTCAAATGTTTCACTTTAAATGTTCATCTAAAGTTGATGACTATTTGATTTTTTCTACTTTTAATCTTCTGGGGGATTTTTAGATATTCTATTTCAGAATTCAGAAAATGAGAGCAAAGTGAGACCATGTACAGCTTAGCTGTTAGTTTGAAACATGGACTAGGTTGTGATCACTTTGCTCCTGGATAGCTGACTCTTTCTTCCTAAGTTCTATTGATGGGTCTTGGAACCATTACCCCAGCACAGTGACCCCAGAAAGCAGGCTATCTGGAGAAGTACAGGGAACCACACGAATCACACCGTCAGAGAGTGGCAGCACCAGAACAAGAGCCCCAAGTTCAGGCACTTTTCACTTGCTCTGCTCACCCTACTAAGATTCTGCTTCTTAATAACCTCCACCCAGCTTCTCCCTCTTCATGCCCCCCTACGCCTTTTCCACTTTAACTCTTTCTCGAGTGTGGCTTACAGAGACTCAGCCTAACGACCCCGACAGTGTTTCAGAACTCACCAGAAGACAGATGAGACACCCACAGAATAGGACATCCTTTTCTCCTATCTGCTAATGTGAAGCCACGGCTGCTACTTTTGTATCTTGCTCCAAGCCCCAGGAGAGAGGGCTTGGAGAGATGACTTTGTGTCTGAAAATTCACCAGGGAGACATTAGTCTCTTGAAGTTCTTAATGAATACAGAGACTAAATCATGTGCTCTTTTAGCTGAGAAAGACCTTGGCAATCTTCCAGACCAATTCTCTGTCCAAGACACCATCTCATAGTGGATCGACAGACGCTGCGGGAGAGGATCTCATCAATCCTAAGAGGTTCCAGGGTTATGTAATAGGTTGAACAAATCCAAGAGATAAGGTGTATGAAGAAAATAAATTTTTACTTTTCCTTTCCCTTTTAAAAATACATTGAATGGAGTTAAATCTTCTTTTACCTGTGGAAGAAAACTCAGGTGCCTAAGATTTCTGGACACATTCAGACAATGAAACATCCTCTGGGGAGTAGTTAAATTATTACTTACCCAGGTAATGGTTAGCTGTCCTCCATTGCAACAAACACTCTGCCCCCAAATGGTAATAGTTTCTCATTCAATTCTGCTATCAGAGCAGCAAGCTCACGTTCATCTATCAGTTAGATTTCCAGGAATGAATACCAGTTTGTCGTGGTGGTTTTTTTTTTCCAGTCAAATTTCAGGGGACATATGTTTATGTCTCCTTATGAGAATCTTAAGGTCCCTTGAGTTTGACTGTGGTAAAGTGGGGTGTACCTCTTCATCCCTTTTTCTTGGGCGTGGGGAAGGAGGCGTGGAGTGGGAAACTTAGCACTTTCTGGACTTCCCCTGGCTTCACCTCATTTTCTCGTCTTTTATTTTCCAACCCTATCTATCTCTTTCCTTCCTTCTTTTCTCCACATTCTCTTCCATGTACCCCTCTTTATCTTTTTCGATAGCAATAGCTGTAGTAGAAGTGGTTTTTTAGTTCAAGTTGTGCCTTATATCCATCATCACACTGGGAAAGCAAAAACAAAACAAAACAAAACAAAAAAACCGAATTCATTATTACCCAAGTCACTGTGAAACTTCCTCTGTCAATCAATATATAGAACGCTTTAATTTAGTTATGCCTGTTTGTTGTCTATCATCCCCACTAAAATAGAAATATGGCAGAATGCACCTTGACTATTTTGTTAACAGTTGTATCTATATTTTCAAAAACATAGATAAGATGCCTTGTGGGAGCTCAGTAAACATTTGTTGAATGACTGAATTCAAGATCTTTGCTCTTTTTGATAAAAATTAATGTGACTATATCTCTTGCTCAGTTTTGAAACTTTCCTGTCTTCTCTGAGCCAATATTTCTGATTAATTGTATAATATAGACTTTTACAATATGCCTTATATTCCCGATGATGGTCTTTCACATTGACAACAAATGCTTCACTGGTTATATTCCCAACTATTCCTCAAATTCTCTCAGTAAGAATGGCACATACCAAAAAAACCAGAAACAACAAATACTGGCAAGGATGTGGTGAAAAAGAACTCTCCTACACTGCTGGTGGGAGTGCAAACTGGTCCAACCACTATGGAAAACTGTCTGATGTTTCCTCAGTCTACTAAAAATGGAGCTACCATATGACCCAGCAATTCCACTACTAGGAATCTACCCAAGGACACAAAGACATTCATTCAAAAGAATGCCTGGGGCATCCCTGGTGTCACAAGGGGTTGAGATGCATCCTATGAAGCTGTCTGCAGCCACTGCAGCATGAGTTTGATCCCCAGGCTGGCCAGGGAGCTACCCACATGGCACAGCAGACCTCTCCTGTCTTGCCCACTTTTCCCCTCAGCAGTGTATTTCAGTCAATCTGCCTGTTCTGTTACCCACTCTATCTCTGGTAAATCTTCTCACCCCCCCCACCCCGACACTTCTGGCCTGTATCCCAGCTCTTGTATAAATAAATAAATAAATCTTTAAAA